GAAGTCGTACGGAGGCTCACGATATTTTCTCACATTCATTGATGATTTCACTAGAAAAACATTTGTATATTTCTTGAAAAGTAAAGGAGAGGTCTTTGAGAAGTTTGCCGAATTCGTAAAACTTACTGAACGTCAAACTGGAAAGAAATTTAAAATTATCAGATCTGATAATGGCAAAGAGTTTGTCAATAAGCGTATGGATGAGTTCTGTAAAGCAAAAGGGATCTGTCACCAACTGACAATAGAGTATACACCCGAACAAAACGGAGTTGCTGAGCGAGCTAACAGAACTATCACTGAAAAAGCCAGGACAATGTTAGAAGAAGCTGGTTTAGGCAGAAAATTGTGGGCAGAGGCAGTCAACACCGCCGTGTATTTAAAAAATAGGTCTCCAACTAAAGCCTTGAGAAACAAAACGCCCGAAGAAGCTTGGACTGGAAGAAAAGTGAACTTAAGCCACCTCAGAGTGTTTGGATGTAAAGCTTATCTTCATGTTCCAGATCAGAAGCGCACAAAATGGGATCCTAAGGGCACAGAGTTAGTCCATGTTGGATATGGCGAAAACGGTTATCGCCTTATTAACCCTACGACAGGAGTGTTGCACAGAGGTAGAGATGTTATATTTTTTGAAAACTCAAAAGTACAGCTACGTGCTCCCGTTAATCAAGCCGTCCCGCTACCGCTGACGGATGTTACGGTTGAGTATGATAGAGTTTCAACTCATCATGAAGAGCCAGAAATTCCTGAAGAACCTGGAAATCCAGCTCTTGAGAATGTTGAGGTTGAAGATGAGGTTTGGGAATCATCTGACGAGGGGAATGAAGCAGATCCTGAGGATGGTCTTGTAGAAGAAGGTAGAGAGCTACCAGTAAATGACAATGGGCCATCAGATAGAAGATATCCGCTTCGAGAAAGAATACCAAAAGCATATCCAGATTTTGTAACTTACCAAGCAGTCAAGGCATCGCCAGACCCTTTAACTGTTCAGGATGCATTATCTAGAGAAGATGGAGACAAATGGAAAGCCGCAATTGAGGAGGAGCTGAGAGCCCTCGAGAAGAATAAAACTTGGACGTTGGTGAAGCAGCCAAAGTCGTGCAACATTGTTGATTCGAAATGGTTATTTCGAATTAAAGAAGAGGCGGGGGGAAAGACTCGTTATAAGGCACGACTTGTAGCAAGAGGATTCAGCCAACGGAGAGGAGTCGACTACTTTGAAACTTTTTCGCCTGTAGTCAGACATAGCTCATTAAGAGTCTTAATAGCCTTAGCCGCCCGTTTAGAGTTAGGCATAGATCAAATGGACGTTAAAACGGCATTTTTGAATGGAGACTTAAATGAAATCGTCTATATGAAGCAACCAGAGGGGTTCGAGGTAAAGGGCAAGGAGAATTATGTCTGTCTTCTAAAAAAATCTTTGTATGGACTGAAACAAGCGCCACGAGCGTGGAACGCAAAGCTTCACTCTGAACTTATAAGACTGAAGTTCAGAAGATCTGAAAATGAGCCATGCGTTTACACCCGGTCACAGAATGGAAACATAATGATTATTGCTGTGTATGTAGATGACATTTTGATATTTTGGAACAATAAGCAAGAGATGTTCAAATTCAAAGAAGAGTTGAAGTCTAGATTTGATATGAAAGATCTCGGCAAAGCTGAGTTAATGCTGGGAATTAATATTGTTCAAGATGTCAACAAAAAGAGCAAGAGTATTGCGACCTTTTTTTAATCTCTATGCATTTTATGATAGTATTTTGAATTTTCTTTTTTTGAGTTGACAAGAGAACGTCAAGTAATAAATATGTGTTCTGCCAAGTGTGTTTTTACTAATATCCTATAATATATCTTTATGAATTTTTCTTCCAAGAGCTACTCTGTGAAGGAGTGTACCTACGTAGTATCACACCCTTCAACCTATTAAACGTGGTCTACTTATTTTCTTACCAATCTGGAAGCTCCGGAGACCAAATCGTGATCGATGTATTTCCCACTTTAGATTTCGGCTAGATAGTAGGGGTTTTCTCTAGTATGACAACACTGACACTTTATAGCGATAATTTAGGTTTATTTGGTTACAAAATATTTAGATTATTTGTTTATTTATTTAGTTTTATATATTGCACACATTCGACATGATCTTCTTTTTATTCACGAGTGACATTAAATTTTTCTAACAGTTAGTTGCCTAGCAATGTACCAAAGAGCTTTTCACTAGTGCTATGCAACCTCAACAATAAACACTACAACCTGCAAAATTCGCCGGTTGCTCCGACATTTCCATTTCCAACTAACACCAGCTCAAACTTTTATCACAATGACTAAAATAGAGACGTACGTGTTCTTCGACATTGAAACTACAGGTTTGCCACACGAGGAGAGAAATAAAACGAAGATTACTGAATTATGTTTCGTAGCAGTTTTGCGAGAACATATGAAACGAGGTGCGTTTGCTATCATACCGCCAGTAAGTAAGTTAACTCTACTTATAAATCCGCAGAAAAAGATCAATCCAATAGCGGAGAAAATTACTGGCTTGTCCAATGATTTGTTGAAGAATGCTCCAATTTTCCAAGAATATGTGCACACAATTGTTTCATACTTATCATCACTTCCTAAGCCTATATGTCTGGTTGCCCATAACGGCGACCGCTTTGATTATAAAATTCTCTTGGCAGAATTCTTAGATGCTAATGCTACACTGCCACATGACTTACTTTGTGTTGATTCTCTGACTGGATTTCGACAGATAACTAAAAATAGTAACATAGTTCCTTCGACTGTGAAAAAAAGATGATGCAACAACGAAAAGTAGCTCTACAAAAGATGACTCAATGTTGGAAGAGGACTCGTTAGCTAGAGATAATAATTCATTAATAAGTGAAGATTCATTGATAAGTGAAGATTGGCCTGATTTAGATGTAAGTGTAGATGACTGGAAAGAGATTGATTCTCTATGTTCCTCTTTCTCAGAAATGCCTATAGATGCTAACAAGTCAAGTAGCAATTCTGATGAATCAAAGGTGCAACCAAAGAATGTTGAAAAGGGAAATGAAAAAATAAGTTATGCACTAGTTGAACTTTATAAAAGGATAGTGAAAAAGGAGGTGTACAATGCCCATAGAGCTGAAGATGATTGCTTTATGCTCATGGAGTGTGTGGTGGCTACGAAGGAGTTTTTGCTTTGGGCTGAGAAATCCTGTAAAAGTATCCATGATATTACTCCTTTGGACCGCCACAAATATGATAACAAGACATCCTCTCCTTGTTAAAACATTAGACATGAACTTTTTTACAAAATTTTCTATACAGATTTGATTTTATATATTTTTATAATCATGAAAGCCTTTTGCAAATACTTTATTTTTATTTTGTTAAATGCTTATGCTATATTAAATTATTTTTTATTTTGTGACTTCATATTATATTATTATTGATTTAATTAATCATGTTACTATTAGAAATTGTTATATTTTTTAACTATGTTCATTTTCTCAAAGGATTATGTCCTTTATCCCAAGTTAATTGGGGTGGGAACAATTGTTTTCTTACATATTTTTACCATACTTATACTTACAATTTATTATTATTTTATGCTAGATATTTCTTTATTTTCTGACATTATTTTGTGACTAGAAGTGCATTGATTTAATCAATTATGTTATTATTAGGTAATTTGTACCTATACATATTTTTTATATTTTTTTACTTTAAGATTTTTTTTCTACTGCAATATTCATAATTTTAATCTTTGCTTGTTAGAATTTGATTTAGTTTTAATAAAAAAAATATATATACTTTAATACAAATTACATCATGAACCTTTTATTTACTTATCCTATTCATCTCAACTCGTAACTACCTACATAAAAAGTCGAAAAGTCTGCCTGGGCTGCGCACCGCGCTATTCTGAAGGAAGTTATCGACGGCGGCGACCTCTCACACCCGGCCTTAGTCGAGGCCATCATGGTGCGGAGCGAGAGGAACTGGGACGCCATCTCCTCCTTCTGTGAACAGTTACGCATGTAAAGAGGAGGCTAACCGCGTGAGGGAGCAATCCTCCTCCCCACAGCCCAGCCGCCGCAGCAGGCGACACTCCAGGGATCGAGGGACGATCTCCGGCCATCGTAAGCTAGGGTCTGCGGACGGCGAGCAAGGGTAAGGCATAAGGGTAGCTCGACGCCCGACCAGAACCAGACCCGAGCGTACGGAGCATAGCGCTCCGCGCGCCCCTCAATGAGCACCCAGAGGCCGGGTGCTCACTATAGGGCTGTCTTCGTTGATGATGCCGATGAAAGGAAATTAAACGTAGATAAGCAGTACAGGATAATAATATCCCATATCACCCAATATAAACCTACGTAACAGTAATACGTAAAGAAATTGTGTGGAATAAAACATTTTAAATTTAAGCATTATGCTTAGTTACCCTCCTACCACAAAACTGCAACTGAGACTGGACACGTGGAAAGTACAGTTTTTGGTATGACATCGTGTTTTAATTATTAGAACTTAGAAATGTTATACGCGCTTGTATACCTAAGTGGGTCTACCTGTCGCCTGCAATCGCCCTTCGATCAACACATCATGTTTAATTTTTCTTTATATACATTTCATTATTTGTTATAGAAAATTCCGGCGGCTAAGTTTCGGAAGTTTGCAACCCTAGAAAAAGAAATATTGACTATTGGAGATGATAATAGAAAGAATACTATTTATAACACAAAGCTTAAGCATCTTAGTGACCTTATTTTGTGGAAAATGGCAATATTATATATTTTTTCATTTCTATTTCAATTTTTTTAATAGTTAAAACTATCTGTGGTCACTGGTTCATTATTCACTCAGTTGATCACAATTCAATCTCAATCAGTTGAGTTGTCAAGTTGTCAAACGTCGCTAGCAAACGCTCAAAGATTTGTTTATTTCAGAGGTTATATTTTCTAGTTTTCCGCAAATAACGGATAAAAAAAGTAAATATAACTTATATTATAAATACAATGTCTATAATAGCCGTCAAAGGTGTACCACAAAAGGTAAGATCGAAGAATCTTCATCCATTTACTTCTACATTTCTTCTGATTTCAGTACAACTATTAATTACTAATTCTTTTTTCATTACTTATTACGAATATCACAATCTAAATTTAATTTTACTTTTCAGTGGTCACTTATGAATGTTGTGAAGATTCTGGCTAAAACAATAGCTGGTAATTTCGAAGCTCTAAACTTTCAAAATGGGAAAGGAAAATCTGCTGGCAAAAACAAGACATGCTATTTAAGATTGTCGGAAAAATTGGACCCTGTGCGTGTTGTGGAGAAAATTAACTCGAATGTATTTCCAAAGCAGTTCCGGCCGTTCGCATTAATTCCTGATCATGTTCCCGACGTAAGTTTGCAAATTTATATTGAACTCAGCATCTTAATGAGGTGATCCAATTATTATTATGATTAAGCATACCTGGGCTTCAATTAGTTACGCATTTTTCTCCTACTGAAAAGAGTAAACTTACAAGAAATGTATCTGGCAACTTTGGTCACCAATTTTTAAATTCTTAATCACTGATGATGGAACACCATTTTTTGAAAGGGATACCAATCACATTATTTATTGCAATTATATATAGTAACCCCAATTACCAGGTTGTATTGTCTATCGGTGAATGACACTATAAAAATAAATATTCCTCTTGCAGATTCCGCTAGCAGTGAAACCCAGGAAGATACCTACGAAGCTACGAAGAGCACTTCTTATATCTGATGAGAAGGAACCAGAGAAGGTAACATTGTCTGTCTGCTTGACATCATTAAATTTTTCAATCTTTACATTAACATTTATCTTTTCTTTTTTTATTTAATTAAAAACTCTTTGCCTACACCCCATGTAGGCATCATTTGATCATTTCATAATAAAAAATAAAAAAGTAATATACAATAGGCTGTTGTACTACCTAGCAAAAACTTAAAGGAGGTGAAATGGCAATATTTGTTCCAAAAATCCCAAAAATACTTTGAAGCAAAACATTTGCTGCAGTTGCTTGGCAAACACATTTATAACCTGGATGTTATTACACATATTAACCTTCCTCTTCAATCACTCTCCTTTTTATAAAAACCGTGTCAAAACCTGTAGCATAGTTTGAAAAATTTAAGAATACATAGAGATATAGGGACAGAGAAAGCAACTAAATTGTTTTATAATATGTAGTAAGACCCAAACACAGACTTCTTGTAATAAACGGTGCAACAACAAACGGTAACAATTTCCAGGTCATGGCTCTGACAAATGATGAGATTATGATGGAGCTGCAGTGTAAGTACCCAGGCCTGAACAGTATCAGCAAGAAAACCAACCATAAACTCATGGAGGAGTTGACTAAGGTATTATACTTTTAGTTATTTATTTTTTATAGTTATACAATTGCATATCGGAGGACTTAATGCTAGATGCTCCTGCCAGTTATTCTTTTGGTAGTGCAGAGATGTGTGGTAGGTGATGTGCGGCAGAAATATTGGAAGTTACAGGATGTTTAGGTTTAAATCAATTCAAGTTACATACATAAAGATAATATAATATATAAATATATAATCATATTTCATTACATTTAATATGAACTTTAATACATATAATATAAATAAATACATACATCTAAGCACACATTCATATAATCTACTGCAATATAATGTGTACCATCTTCTTGAGTTTTTTTTAATCTTTTCAAAAGTACATCAGTTTGTTCTACTAGCCACTTGCACTAAAGTCGCTAAACTTTATTTATTTGTCAACAGAAAGTGTTTGAACGAATCCAAACGATAGGAGAAAGGAACGCTGAGGTACTGGAGTCTTGTTTCAAGCTGAGCCAGTGCTACCGTCGCACCCATCCACATTTCGGCGACTTCCAACTTGTACTGAGTACTCTACACCCGCTACAAGACGCCGCCGGGATCCCACGCACGCAACTCAGTGAAAAGGAACTTGCTGAGCTACCCTCACATTCTTACAGTGAGTATTTTGTTACTTATAATATTACTGGCGACCCGGTCATACTCAATGATATTATAAGTAAAACGGTATAGATAGGTTACATTAACAACATTCGATTTTCAAAAACGGCACACTTTGCACACATGAAAAAATCGTATGATACACGTTAAAGTGGGATGGCATGATTCATTAATGGCGAGTGAAAAAGAGACAAATATGAAAAAGTGTGGCTAGTTAACATTTTAATGTATCACTTGCTGAGCGCTTGTAACCTATCCACCTTTTACTTATAATATCATTGCTAATACTAAATTTCTCCACTATTTAATGGATGTTATTACACACACAAACCGTCCTCTTCAATCACTCTATCTACTAAAAAGCTCATCAAAATATATAATTGCGTAGTTTTAAAGATTTAAGCATACATAGGGACAGAGAAAGCGACTTTGTTTTATACTATGTAGTGATATTAAATTCTATTGTATGGAAAAACGATAAAATAAACTTGACTATGTTTATTTTTTTTGCAGTGATTGACAACTTGCCGTTCGACAAAGTGCAGCAAGCCTGCAACAAATATTCAGAAAGGATTATAAAGAAGGTAAATATAATTATTGTAACTAGACTCAGTCTCACTTTTCATGCTAAAAATGTTTTTTGTTGACTTTCACAATTGGTTTATTGCTACCACAACATCCCATCATCAGCCTATAAGTGCTCCATCTCTCCTGGACCGTTCCTTCACGCCGGTTGTTTGTGAAACCGTGGTATCACTCCGGCCCAACTGGCTATCTAGAGTCGATTATCGGGTAAAACCGCGCGTAAGTAACTAGTACATCACATCGCCTATAAGTGCCCACTGCTGAGCAAAGGCCTCTTCTCTTACGGTTTGAGTATTAATCACCACGCTTGTTCAAGGCCGATTGGCGATTTCAAACTTGAAATTAGTAATTATAAGTCCAGATTTCCTCACGATATTGACTTTCACCGTATGTTAGTGGTGTCTAAAGTCAAAAGTCAAAAATCATTTATTTCAATTAGACCACAGTAGGCACTTTTGAACGTCAAGCAAGCAAAAAAGGAAAAAAGTATATAATATGAGCTTTAAAATTAAGCGTGTCAGTCTGTCCGTCTGTCCTCTAGTGAAGCTATCTAAATAATCATAGAAAGAAAATGTAACTCGGAAAAAGTCACATTGGTACTGGCCAGGTTTGGAAACAGCACCCTGTGCACAAGAAGCGGGTGCCTTAATCACCGGGCTACCACGACTACAAAAAACAGTAATTAATTGTATATGATTGTATGCTTTAAAATAAATATGTTTATCAGGTCACTGAACACGTGAAGAACCTCAAATCTAATGTGGTGGGGACTGACACAGAGGATGAAGTCGTCAGAAAGAAGGTTCGAGAGGAACTCAAGAAGATGACGCCTTTCTTGCCCATGGTATGTATAATCGATTTTGATGCGTTTTATTTCATGGATGATCCGCCTGGTTTTTTTTTGTGGGGGGAAAGTCTTCAAATTACTTCCCCCGCCCAGAACCGAGCTGGAGGGATTGTCAGACTCTTTCTGAGTAAAGACGAAAGAGGCGCGGTACGCTACCTGCCGTACGCTCGGGGTGGTCAGTCTGGTGGGCTACTGTCCAACAGTTGTATCCTTCTATCCTTGTCTATTCGCTCGCAAACTTCACTTGCGTCATGAAGACTTGTAACACCATCTGTTGAACATTGCCGTTACAATATGCGTCGCCACATATTATTATGTAATCAAAGTAAAAATCTAAATACCCCTATTCCTTAATCCCGAAAATTAAGAAATATGAAAAGAAAACAAAAGCTTCATTCAAGATAATTAATAACGAGCCAGGCAAAAATAAGTATTATAACACGGAATTTAATTTAAATACAGAAAATGGACGCATTAGTGCAAATCTGGAAGTTTAAAAGAAAACTTTTTTAAAAGCATCCCAATCAAAACTACGAAAGACTTGGAAACATCATAGGCACTTTTTATCGGCCTTCTCAAAACAAATGTCAAAGAGTGTTGTTCTGATTTTAAATTTTCTCGCCATTACATTGTATTGTGTATTAACGAACCCCCAATCAGTAATAAAGACGTTCAAAGAGGTGTCTAGGCCTTCCTTAGAATCTACTAGCTTTTGCCCACGACTTTGTTCTCGTGGAATAGTGACTTCTGCAGATTGTTTGGTTTAGAAAATATCTTTTGTCGTTTCTCGAGTTCCAAACTATGTCTGTACCAAATTCCACACAAATAGGTTCAATAGTTTTGGCGTGAAGAAAAGACAGACAGACAGAGTTACTTTCGCATTTATAATATTGGTTTGGATAGCGTCTTATTTTATTTATAATCAAAGTGTAGGTCTAGGTCAGGAAGTTTTTCCAAATTTGATGTAGCATAGTAAAGAAGTTCCGCTGTTTAAATCGGGCGATAACACAATAATTATAAGCCGGTTTCTGTTTTACTAGTGCTAAGGGGTTTGAAAAGCTGATGATTTCTCAGATGCTACGACAACTTAACATGAATTCGACCTTTCATGACCAAAAGGGACGATGCAAAGCTGATGCCAGCGTAACTAATGGAGCATTGATTTCGCCTCGTGGGAGAAGTCACAAGACACTATTGAAATATTTTGTGATCTGTCGAAGGCTTTCGATTGCGTAGATCACGAGACACTGTTGCTAAAGATGGATCATTACGGTATTCGAGGGGCATATCTCAATTTATATTTCTCAATAAATACGCCCAGCCGTTGTCACAGGAGAAGTCATTAGATGATTTTCCCCTGACCAAAAAAAGGCTAGGCGGCTCAAAGTAGCTCAGGTAAATATAGCGATATCTTTGGGTGCTATCATATCTATGGGCGTACCACAAGGCTCAATATTAGGTCCTTTCCTCATTATTTGACAATGACACATCGTTCATTTTAAAAATAAATAGGCTGACACAGAATAATGACGACGTATTGACACACACAGTTGATTTGTCTGTTCCTCCTTTGTTCCGCTCTATGTCATAAAGACTTAATTAGTTTTTTCTGTATACAGATCGTGAAGCAAGTTGTGAACAAGCACTTCATCCCACAAAAGACGGGTTACTACAAACTGCGGGTGAGTAAAGCCTATGCCATTGTTTGTATATTTGCACACGCAACACATAGGAAGTACTGTTTCAAAATTAATACAATGTTTATTATATAAATAAACTAGCGAGCGACCCGCCCCGACTTTGCTAGGGTGCAATGTTAATAATAAATGCATGTTACCTACATATCTTTATAAATAAAACTGTCCCCATCTCTGTCACTTTCTATACTCTACTACTGTTGATAGGACGGCAAACGAGCAGACGGATTACCTGATGGTACCTAAGCAATCAGCGCCGCCAATGTACACCCGCAACAACAGTGCGTTGTCGACCTTTTGGGGATTAGGGATTTGGAGATTTAAGAATAGGGGAGCTTTTTGGGTCGGGGTTTTTTATACTATGTAATGATTAAGAAATAATATAAAATGATATTCTACAGATATACGGCGAGCCATTCCTCCCGGGTAAGGAGACGTTGGCGCCATTCTTGCGTCGGTTCCAAGCGGGGCGTATGAATCGCTCGGAGCGCATGTACAACTTGCTGCGGTTTGACGTGCCCCCCTCCCACTACGCCGCCATCATGGCCATGGATGGCACTGTTCTCAGTGAGTATTACATAATACAGTGAAGATACTAATTTTCTCCACTATTATAATCCCTATTGCCATCATTTATAGTGGTAGTTGCCATAGTGAAAATTGTTTATATAAAAAACCAAGTATTTTTAAATGATTGCCCACAAAAGGCGTTTTTTCCTCCACCTACCTTCCAAACGCCAGGGCAGAATTAGACATATAGCATATCGTTGGAATTCTTAAATCATCCTGGTTGACATAGGCAAGGTTGTGTCTTAAAATATCAATGTGGTAGCAATGGGGGCTTATAAATCAAATAATTTAAAAAGGTTCTCAAAGCAGCATGTGTTTATAATAATTATCTGGAGTTTGAAAAGTAGATTACAAAAAAAATATGACAAAACAAAAATCATATTTTATATAAAAAAATGTAATTGAAGTCATTTCACGTAAATAACGCTTGTATGAACCAATTCGCTCTTTCATATCCTATCGTTATTTTTCCACAGACGGTGCAAAACTAGTGATAAGACCATCGGACCTGCCCATGTACAAGTTGTCGAATTCCATCCTAAGCGCCAGTCTTGACGCAGACGTTCAGGATGAAGAAATGAAACCGGAACAACTGGTCGAGTGGAACGAAGATATGTAGAGAAACTTTCCTTGCTAAACAGAATTCTTACACAACTTAATTCATTGTAAATAACAACTTACGCGAATTAATTGCGAGAAGCTTTACTAGTTTGAAGACACAAGTGTGGAAGAGTCAAACGGCACAAATGGGTCGGCTCGACCGGAGTGATACCACGGCCTCACAGAAAACAGGCGTGAAACAACCACAGCGTTGTGTTTCGCCGTGTGAGTGAGGTTACCGGAGTCCCATTGCCTCCCCCTCCCCTCATCCATTCCCAATCCCTAAATATCTGAGACCATTATTCCTAAAAGGCTGGCAACACACTCGTAACTCCTTTGGTGTTGCGGGTGTCTATGATGGGCGACGCTGATACCATCAGGTAATCAGTATGCCATAAAAATCAAGGGACTCTAAGCTCTTATTCATTAGCAGTGTGCGCGTCGCGGTGACGTCGCACAGCCAAATTAGTCGCATTGTGACTTGTAGGGCTTTTCTCAGTTTATTAACGTGAGGAAGTCGTTGCTTTCAATTAATTAAGTAACACCCGGTTTGTGAAAGCCTTGTCAACGCTAAAATTAACTAATCTCCTGTTAAATCTCTTTTCAAGTATCTGATTGGTTGTTGATAATTCAGTCAACCAATCAGATGACTTGACAAGAGATTAAATTGATTTTAAAATTGATCGGCCTTTCGGAAACCGGGTGTAAGTCTCACGATAGTTAATGTTTTGACACACCTTTATACAAAATTAGTTAATTGTTCTTTGGAAAAAAACGTTGTCCTAGACTAGGATTTACTCCTGCGTCGTACAACTATTCGTGGATCAAACAGAGTTGTTTCGCGGGAATCGTAGCACAATGGACTGTTCCCAACAAAATAATTAAAGTATTAATTAATAAATACAATAAGAATATGCATGATTGCAGATTTTTTTTAATTTGGTGATAGCTAAATGTTGATTTCATTATTTTCCATCAAAATATAATATCTAGTTATTTCTCTTGAATTAGATAGAAATAGGAAAAGTACCTATGTTTAATATTAATTTAATCAAGGTCAGTATCGTTTTTTTTTAGGTACTCTAATAATTTGTAGCTACCATTTGTTTTCTGTATTGTATTCTGGCCAACAATGACCACAAATTGTTTGAAATCTGTTAGGTTACGAGAGTACCTACTCTAATAATTTGTAGCTACCATTTGTTTTTGACTGAGTCGTCATCTGCATTGTATTCTGGCCAACAATGACCACAAATTGTTTGAAATCGTCAAAATAAAGATCTTTGTAGGTAAAAGTGTATGTTTATACAAAAGTGAACCTAATTGTCTGAATATCTGTAAAAATGCACTTTATGTGTTTTGTTTCAAGAGCGAAAGTGGATTTTGTTCTTCATGTGTATTTTAAATACCTATGTATGTCAGTTAATAAATTAATCTTAAACATAATAACTTGCGTTTGAAATGAAATACTTCAATCCAATAGAATACGAAGGCACAACCCCTTTCCTTATCCCCATTCCATAACCTAAGCCAAAGGCTGGCAAAGTATTTAGAACTTGTCTTGAGTCCATGGGCCACGACTGTAGCTTACCTTCAGGTACTCTACTTGTGACTCTCTTTGCCATGTAAAATGTAATGTAAACAGATCACGGCGTCCAAGCCCACCCACTGGATTGTACTATGGGAGGATAATTCACTGCTATTACGGATTCTCTGACTTCTCCATATTCATATTTTCACCTAATTAGCTACAGCAGCAGCAAAAATAACGCCTCATTGAGTCAGACACATATTAAAAAATAGGTACATCATAATATGTATTTGCTTTGTCTATCGTTGTGGAGATCGATTTTCATGCACGAGGAACCTAGCAAGTACTAATAATAGGTCTTTACCTATGAAATTGCCGTTCTGCAGTACTGGCCATTTCAAATCAAAATAGTTTTTGTAAGGCTAAGGCTAATTAATTTTGTTTTAAAAACATGGGATTCTTTTTCCAAAAGTAGTCATTTGTTTATTGATTTGTGTTACATTTTCATCGCATTTCAAATCAAAAAATTCGTTAAATTTTTTTCATGCAAAACGGCAATTTCATCAAGACCTATTTATTATATTTTTTCCAGCAACAGAGGACACTTTTTTGTAGAGGGTATCTTATCCAACTTCTCTCATCCATGGTATGGCGAGAGGGAGTGTCCGACTATTACTGACAAAAACCCCCGTTCCTTCTCATGGAGGCTGCGGTACCGCATTGCGCTTGACCCGCAACCCCGGCTGTCGGCCCTATTAGGCCCCATCTGTGCATTTTATTAAATTGTATCTGCAATCGTAAATCTGCTTTGAGCAAGCGTGGTAGCTTTTGCTCAGCAGTGCACACTTATAGGCTGATGCTGATAGTGCTGATATTCCTGAAGTACTTCATAACACGTGGTGGGCGCTGAATTAAATAGTGGGTAACGTAGTATATAAATAGTAGTATTAAAAACGTCGTGGTGGCCCGGAGGTTAAGGAGTCCGCTTCTCATGCATGAGGGTGTGGGTTCGAAACCTGGCAAGTACGAATGTGACTTTTTCCAAGTTATATGTATATGGTTCTATAATTATTTAGACTCTACTGACATACGGTGAAGGTAACCATCGTGAGGATACCTGGACTTATAATTTCTAATTATTAGTTTGAAATCGCCAATCCACGTTGAGCAAGCGTGGTGATTTAATGCTCTAACCTTCTCCGTATGAGAAGAGGCCTTCGCTCAGCAGTGGGCACCTATAGGCTGATGATGATGATGAACGTAGTATATTTCTGAACTACGTTTTAGTTTCTGTAAAGCTGTAGACTACAGGGTGACTTTGAGCAAACAGAATATAAAGGTCATTTTATTGTGTATTGTATTCCTTTGTTACTGGGCGTGAGGACCTCTCGTATTTTCGTCCAACAGGGTAGAGCTACTCACACAATTCGATTATTCTCATTTTCCTGATTGATCTAACCTCTTGCTAAATTGGTGCTATTAGATATTTTTGGTAAGAACTATATTCCTATCGTTTTTAGTTATAGGTACGTTAGTATTTCTAGTTAAATATTTTCTGTCGTGAATAACATCTCAGCAATATAATTATGTTATTTTTGTTTTATCAATATTTTCATTGAAAATGTAAATTGATAACTTCTGTTAATTCTTAAACAGTATAATTTTACCAGTAGTAAATTTTAGTTCTTTTACTCTATAATTTGGAAAGATACATAATTATTATGTAATGTCTGTATATGAATAGAATTTCTTTTTTATAATCTAATTCTAGTACTAATTGTATGTAAAAAATAAGCTATTTGGAGTAAAGAAAACCAAATATTATACGAATAAATGTTTTTATTTCAGATCTTTATAACAAAAATATGTCAAAATAAATAAAGGTTTTGCGATTATAAAATGCATTGTGAATGCAACTGAGTGCAACATGTATACATTACAACATATATAATTATATGAATGAAATATTATTTTCACGTAAAAAGCTTTCTTAGCTAATCGCACAGAACTAAACACGGTACGTCTTGACCATAGATGAACCATAGACAAAACGCTCTAGCACATTGGAATGGATAATCGGTGGATAACAAAAATACTGTTTTTACATTAAACTATTTTGATTATAGGCGAATATAAAAATATTTTTATTTTTAGTTAGGTTTATTTATACCCGTATAAGAGAATTAAGTCACCGTAATTAGACCTTAATTTTAGTATTAAATATTTGTGACTTAGACATATAAAATCTCACGTACATTAGCAAAAGGTACTCGATACAACAAATTTATGGAGGAAACAACTTTTTAAATATTTCAATGTACATTTTGCGATTGTAGACCTTGTTTCTAACGACAATAAGGCATAGTTTCCGACGTTTTATGCGTAGACTGTGCGATTTAGCCATTCTTCGAGGGAGAAAGTGGCGTATTCCCCGCCTGAAGATCTCCCCTTGAACGTATCTGTGGAAAGAGATTGTTTGCATTAGAATTTTGTTAGATTCTGGTGCTAACGTTACCAGTTAGTAAGCTTTAGTGCGGGTATGGACATTTTACAATGTATTTTCCGTATAAAAATACTATTAGTTTAAACTGATTGGTAAAACATTGTAAAGATATGTCTATACTTGTAAAATATCCAAAAGAAGTGGAAACGTTGAAGTGGTACTGTCTGCGAATAGTTTCAGTTTACAATATACTTGACATTTATTTACTTGGTATTTTAAGTGGAAAATAACAATTAATGTTAGTACTATTGCAAACAATATTTTTTTTTGTGTAAGGCTGTGTGGGAAATATTTATTGCTTCAAAAACGGTCTGAAAATAACTGTGTGTGTTAAGCTCAAAAGTTGCTGAGAGCAATTAATTTAGTCACTTGATTTCATGTACTTTGTTATATTTATCATCCATTAAACATTTAGATAAAATAAAAAAAAATTAGTTATAGGAATTTTATAAATATATATCTCTGTTTTTAAGATGAATAGATATGTTTGAGCAAATAGTCTACTGGCGAAAACTCAATTATAGACATTGTACCAAAATTTTTTAATGAAATTGGTACTTTTTATAATTTAAACACAACATGGTAAATTTTGAAGGTTATGCTATATGCCATTATTTAATAATAATTTTCGCTTATAAAAGCTAATACATACATAATTATTGTCATTTCTAAGCACCAAATGCCGAAGAAAGGGAAATCATCAAATGACTTCTCCCGCCCAGGGTGAGGCGAGAGGGAGTGTCAGACTCTTACTGACTAAAAACTCCCCCGTTCCTTTTCCAGCTTTAGGCCGAGAGCGCGATGCCTTATTGCATTTACCACGCAACCCCGGCTCAACTTTTGAGACTTGCACACAGAATAATATTACTAATTAGAATTTCTATTTATATTTCCCTTACAACCTTGGTACATGGTGTTTGATACAGTGACAAGGCAGACAGGAATCCTGTAAAATATTACGTGGTGAAGATGTCGACGCCTCAGCTCATTTGTTTCCACTGCAATTCACGCTCGAGATTCTCAAGCGGCTCGTTGTTCGCTGCAGTTATTATCATTATATAATAACTTTGTATTTAGTTTTACATATTATTAGGTAGTTTTCATAGTCAAATACAATACAAAAAATGGCGGCTGTGTCGATTCAAAAGGAGTATGGAATTTGTCTAGTTGTCAAGTACCTAATTATTTTGTAGACACTCTTATAATATTAAAATAGACACTAAATGAATTAATTTTTATTTATAGTAACCTTGCCCCACACTATTATTTTCTCCTGTGTTGTGCGTGCGTTTACAAACATACAAATTCACATACACAAGCCAACCAGATAAAAAAAAAATCACAAATCACACAAAGTGTTGTTCCGTGCGGGAAGCGAACCCACAACACGTTGCACAGCAGCCAGTTTCCTATAAATGTCTTTATAACAAGCCCTTAAGTTAACAAAACCTAAGAATTTCTGTAAAGCTATGGATTTTATTTCGGCTAAAACCCCCGTATTATATTGCCTTAACATGCAAAAGCTAGCAGCAAACAGTAAACAGCTTAAGTTTGAGCAAAAAAATCCACATATCACATATCATATAACTACATATCTTAAGCATTATTATCAATACTAATATCAATATTATTAAGCGATTATCCCAAACACTACTTGTTTAAATTGACCATTCTATTTGTGTTGGATAGTTATAAAACATCATGCTACGAGTAATAGGATCCAACAAAAAGCTCAAATTCAACTGTTAATATAAATTAAGTAAAGAAGTGTAATAACGACTTCTTTTATTTTCATAATCAACATTAGTTAAAAACCTTTGTCCAAACCAGGCAGGGATTGTCCCTCTTTTTATAAAAACACACACAACTTCCAAATTTGTATTATCACTCAAAACAAAAACAAGCACCTATAAGGCTAAGAGAATCGAACTCTGCATATAACAAAAATATACTTTTACATGCATTCTAGAATTAGCTTACATCTTACTTTATTAAATTTATTTCAAAAAAAAAAATCTTAAATTCGTATAAATGTTCTACAAAACAAAACTTCGAAACACATCACTCAAAACAAAATCGAGAACCTAAAAAAATAAGAGAATCGAACTCAACATGTGCCACTGTACACCTGTATGTACTTAAGGATTAGCTTTGTTCTTGCTAAGTATAAAATTATTTGTAAAATCAGTTATTTTTTACAATTTTGTAATATAATCTATATATTGTTTAAAACTTACCGATCATAGTCTTCAGTCGCACCGAGCACATTATGAAATCATCGAATTGAATGTATCCATCCGGAGAGCTGTATCTATAGAACAAAAAGTATATTCATAAATAATACTATTGCTGTAAGTAAATGTTATACTTTGGCAACACTGTTTTCTTGTAGTATTATAGTTTATCTGTGGTGTCTACTGGGCGGCGAACTGAAACTGCTTGTTCTTTATTTAAAATAAATATGCTAGGCTATTTAAAATTTGGTTTTACTTCATTGTCATATAGGTGAGCCCAGCGACAGAAATAGAATTCAATCAATTGGTGTTATACGAGCTAACTCGTCTAGTTTCAAGCTACGTAAGAGCCCATAATCATGAGCAGGAAACGCGAAACATCTCGAAAAGCGTGGTAGCGCCGCGCAGTTTCACATTAGCATGAATTTATAGCTATCTATTAATAAATTAGGTCTGGTGACAGAAATACAGAAAGAGACCAAAAACTTTTCACCCTTTTTTTTCTAGCGTTACGTAACCCACTCAGGGTTACGTAACGCTAGAAAAAATATAATAACAATTATTTATATTTGTGTTTACCTGTGGGCGAGGACGTTGAGTACGTGAGCGTTGACGGTATACCCGGCGGAGTGCAGCGCGTCCCTCAGGTGTTGCGGGGGGATGGCGCCGCGACCCTCCGTGTCGTACAGGCGGAACACCGCCTGGGGGAAGGGGGGAGACATAGTCAACATCAGCATATAAAAACTTTGTTAAGCTTCTCTTCTCACACGGAGAAGCCACGAGCAATTAATTAAGCTTTGCTCAATGCGGTTTGGATTTCAGATTGGTAATTTACAAACTAAAAGTCTAGTCCGTAGCCAAGCCAGCCAAGTAAGGTATCGATAATCGTCATCGTTTTAGAAATGAAAGAAATGTATGGAGATATCTGAACGTCATCGATAAGGGCACGTGGTCCTCGGAAAAAGTTACATAGATGTAACTTATACTTCGGAACACTCCGACATACCACACTTAACTCAAGTTCATAACATACATCATCATTATTACCAGCCTATAAGTGTCACTGCTGAGTAGAGCCTCTTCTCACACGAAGATAGTCTTATCATTAATCACCACGTTTGCTCAAAGCCGATAGACGATATCAAACTTATAATTAGAAATTATAAGTCCAAATTTCCTCACGATAATATCCTTTATCGTTTCTCAGTAGTGTCTAAATATACTTATAAAATAGTATAACTTACCGGCTTCCGAAAGGCCGATAAATGTTGAAATCATTTAATCTCTTGTCAAGTCATCTGATTGGTTGACTGAATTATCTACAACCAATCAGATGACTTTACAAGAGATTTTAACAGAAGTAGTTAATTTTAGCGTTGACAAGCCTTTCAGAAACCGGGTGTTAAAAAGTCACATTGGTAGTTGCCAGGTTTCGACTCTCATGCATCACTTTAACCTCAGGGCCACCGCAATCTACATACATAAACAAGCGGTCGCCCGCATGGGTACCGATTTTATTTTTACCTTCTCTGGACTTCCACGAATAATTCAAGACCAAAATTAGCCAAACCAGTATTGTTGAGTTACAAACATTACAACGAAAAGTAGCATTGTTTTTTATATACAAGTATATATTAGCGGGCCCTCCCCGAAAACCCTTACATATCAAATCGTCGGCCGTTTCCGAGATCACAAGCTTTTTCAAGTAATCTTTGTCATCTGACGGCCTGATTTGTGTATCTAAACCAACCAGGGCGCCACGCAAACGCATACAGAAAAAAAATTTAGTCGGTCAAGCCGTTTAGGAGGATTTCAGTGACATACACACGTACAGTATAATTATATATAAAGATGTAAATTGTTCACTTACACGCCAGTTACGTAGATCGATCCACAACGTTTTGAACTCATCAAAGCCGAGTCCACCAGACCCGTCCTTATCCAACATAGCGACCATACTACGGCAGACATCCTTTGAAAATCCTTGTCCTTTCAGCTCTGTAAAGCATTTGGTAAAGTCAGATTGTGGATAAAAAAGGAGGTAATACCTGTTATGTCATATTGAATTAAGGTTTTGTGGAAAATAGTTGTTTTCTGTATTGTAAAGAGTATTAATATAATGTATATTAGGAATCAATATTTGATATTAAATATTACTTTTTTTATTGAAAAAAAAAATGCTTGTTATAGACAGCCGCATGAATGTGGCTAGTTTTGTATATTTTTAGTATTGAAGATCGTGTATTTTATTAAATAAAGTATTGTTTTTTATTTTTTCTTCTCATTGATTGGTACTGTTTGACAAGGAATCCCAATTTCTCTCTAAGGGGATATAGGAGGCTGAGAAAATAATTTTACCTCCAAGATAATACATTGGAGGATATTAAATAATACTTTTATCATTTAAATAAGATTGGTGTTAGTTATTTATATTTTAAGTGTCAACAAAACATTTTTACGAGAAAAGTTTTTCCCAAAAACCTGAATTCAGTATGACATTAAAGAGCAGATAACTTTGCAAATATTTTATGGAAATGGAGGTGACTTAATTACCTACTCTGACGCAATTATAACAATCGTATGATAACTACATTTAAAATGCCCATTTTCGTTATCTCCCGACGCGAAACAAAAACATGCAAGAAAGCTTAAAAAAATGTAAAAATTTCCAAAAACGTTAATTTTTGAAAATCCCTACATTTTTCACGGTGTTAGTGACATAAAGCTTAATAGCATAGACAATGCAAAATATCGGTCACAGACAACACAATATTCAACATTTATCTATGGACGAAATAAAAATAACTTAAATCGGTGTCCATGGTTACCTGTAAAAAATATAAATTATAAAGAACAAAAAGGGAAAATATAAAAATAATGTATTTACATGTAAATATTGACAAAAACAGACATTTTAAATAGTGCCCTCCATTTCTATAAAACGTGTGAAGTAAATAAAGCGGTGCATGCATCTTCTTTGTCTGCGGACCTGGAAAAAAATCTTGGCAATTAGTAAAAAAAAACCACAAAGAATAAATTAAAGACCCCTTTAGAAGTTTCACTTTTTAGTCCCAAAAGTTAGCTCAGTTTTTTAAAAAACCATTCTTTGAGACTAAAAGCGCATTCATGTAGTTTTTACTTTTAAGTACCATAATAATATATGATGGCACAGTTTTCGGAAAACCCCATACTTTGCCACTACAACGGCGTAATTTGTAGTTTTCATTTTTAAGTCCCAAAAGTAGAAATTGTAGAAACTGAAAACGCATAATTTGTAGTAAATATCTAGAATTTACCTATTATCACCAAGATGTTACCTCTTTATTAGGTAAACCTTTTGTATTTTATCTATAAATAATTATTGTTAACCCTCTTATGTAGAGGAGGCCCATAGTCCAGAGAAAACTGTCCTGGGGTATTGATGATGATTATAATCCTTAACTACAATAGCGAGATATGACCCCTTCAATATCTCACAATAGATTTATATGACCCTCTTAGATATTTCACAAAAGTAAAGTATTACCCCTTAATTAAATTACCACACACTAGTAAAAATGACCCCGTAAATAAATCACAATAATGAAATGTGACCCCATAAATATTACTGAAAAACGACCCCACATATAATCACACACAATCGTGTCAGATGACTCCCATTTACACTTGACTCCTTTAATTTTACACAGCAGTGGTAAGACCCCCCTTTAAATTGGACTCCCTAAATATCAAACTAAAGCGACAAATACCCCCCTTTACACTTGAAATCAAGGTCATACCTGTTTGCGGTTGTGGTTGCGTAAGATGGACCTGTTCTTGATTCTGGTTCTGTTGCTGCATTTGCTGCAGGTCAACTCCGATTTCTTTGCAGATGGGGGTGCAAAGGGCACAGAGTAGTTGTTCCAGGCAGCTGGGCTCGTTGCCCCCTCCCCCTGGGGGGGAGTAGTGCACCCCTCCCCCTCCGCCGCCATCGTAAGCCGCGCCTTGCTTCATCGCTAGCTCTGTAGGGATGTTAACTTATGTCTAAGATGTATATTTGTGACATGGCTGAAGTTACTTAATATGTATAGAAGTTGATAGTATTAACATGTTAAGCACTATTGCGAAAAACATGTGTGTCTCGCTAGAGGAGGATTTGCTTGCAACTTAATTTTAAACTTTTTTTAAAAACTGTATTTGTTAACAATTCACTTCTAGGCGACTGATATATTACTACATGAATGTTCTTGGTCTTGATAGAAAAGTGGTATATCTCGTCTATACAAATAAGTAACCTCATATTAGTTATAAAGATGATTTAATTTAAACTGTAATTTTTTAATACTAAATCTAACATAAACATAATAATATTTTTGTTATACTTTTGATAATATAACTAGGAATACAAGACAACATTTATAAATTATATAATAAAAATATTCATGAGCAGTGATACTACTTAAAAAGCAAACACAATATTTATTGTAAACAAAAAAAAGTTTGAACACAAAATAACTAACTACCAACATAAGAATAAAGTGTGAGTATTAAATAAGAAAATAAACCTAATGAAAAAAAAACGCTATAACAATAATTATCTGATGTTTTATTATACTTACATATACTATACCTTGGAACGGTTAGCGGAACGAAACGAAAGCTGCGTTTAACTCGACACAAAGCATTATCACATTGAGAAGCTCAAAAATGGGCATTTTAGAAATATTTTTTATAATGACAATAAATTACACATTATATATTTTTAATCTATCTTATTTGTATATAAAATTCACATTTCAATACAATAAATAATATTATGCTTTATATTAATTATTGACTTATTCATGCAACATATAAAAAAATGTGATTTGCATTGAAATATGAAAGAAAAAGCTTCGAAAATAAAATAAAAAAATATTATTTTCAAACCTAGAGCGTAGTATATGTACGCCAAAAATGGAGACAAAATATTATCGATATTTTTCTTGATGATAAAATGATTTTTTATGAGTTATCGTGATTATTAATATATTTATGTGATTTTAAAATAAATTAGCACATCACTCTAAGCCACTCTTGTTTACCGAATTAATTATTTAATAAATGCCATAAAGATATTGTATATATTGTATTGTATATATACACTTAAGTAGGTACATGGCCAAATTTTGAATGGACTATGGAGTTTTTATTAAACTGGTAGCCAAATCTGTATACAGATTAATAATTAATATTGGCTGTAAATTATATATGTTAAGTTATGAGTACTTTCAATGAATATTTTTGTGTTAATTTCACAAATTTCACAAATGGTAAACATAACTTCATCCCTCAAAGAGGGTAAGCTGTGGTGTAGCAGTATAGATTTTTGCTATCAAAAAGCTACAAAAAATTACTCCATAACATATTTTTTTTATTTTTGATTTACTACTAAAACAGTTAACTAATGGAAATAGCAAAAATAAAAAAAGCTTTTGATTTTTTATAAAAACTTTCTGAACACCTAATCAGTCTATTATTGTCTATTACTAAACACACTCCTTGTAACTAAATTAAATTTAAGGCTGATTTTTCAATGGCTAGAAAAGCTATCTGCGGAATAATTATGATGCTGTCGCGTCAGAATGTTTGTATAAGAATACAAACATTCTGACGCGACAGCATCAATTTTATTCCTCAGATAACATTTATCAGACTATTGAAAAATCAGCCCTTAATAATAATCAATTATAAATTGTTATGAATAAGAAAAATTCTTTGTATATTTGTGAAATATTAGAAAGTACAACGTACCTTCACGCATGGCGTAGTCGAGGATCTCTTTGAGTTCCTGCCAGTCTACCTCGCCATCAGCTCCGGCCAGTCTGTTGAAGAGATCCCGCACAGGATCTGCCGGCTCGGGATTGGGAGCTATATCCTTTACCTGCAGAAAGAAGATATATTTATTAGATTGATACTAAAGCCTTCACTATGTCGCAAAGACATTTGACCCCTCATTTCAGCTGGGATGTCCGGGCAAGCGCAGTAAGGCACCGCGGCATCGGCCTAGAGTAGGAGAACGCGGAACGAGGAACGGAGGGGGGGGGGGATTTTTAGTCTGTAAGAGTCTGACACACCCTCTCGCTCCAACCTGGGTGGGAGAAGCATTTGACAATTTTCACACCAACAAAAAAAAAGCACTTGAGTAGATGAACCTCATATGACTGATATTACAACGAACACATTTACTAACGACTTTTCCCCTTTAAAAAAGAAAACCATATCTGCATAGCATATGTCTAAAAATTTCTGGTACAATGCCGCTAGACATTTGCCAGTCGTTAAAAAGTTGCATAACCCATAAATGTCCCGCGCGATTCGTCACCAACGATCACAACGTCAATTATGTGTTGAGAGACACAAATGACCTCTAATGAAAGGCATCATATCATATATCATCATCATCATCATAAAGCTAGTCTATACTAATATTATAAAGAGGTAAAATTTGTAAGTTTGTATGTAGGGGGTAATCTTTGGAAGCGCTGGTCGGATTGCCAAAATTCTTTCACTGATAGATAGCTACAATGTTCCTGAATGATATAGGCTATAAAACATCACGCTATGATCAAATGGAGCTGTGAAACCGCGGGAGAGTAGCTAGCATATTATAAATAACCATCTTTATTTGATCAATAGTACGGAAATCTTAGATATGCATTTAATAAAATAAATAATAATAGTAGTCCACAAAAATATGACACAAGTAAATGAGAACAGCAAATAATAATAATAATAATTTTCATTATATTTTTCATATTCAACTCACCCGGTCATCAACATCTCCCATACCGATGTCCTCGTCATTTTCGCTGTAAACAAAAAAAAAAATGATTTATTTAATTATTATTTCTTAACAATAATTTATAGGTTTATTATCTCGGAGCGTAATAGAACACATTTTAGAGCATCGTGCTTAGTGCCGAGTAAATGGTATTTATTTATTCCTTTCTTCTTCTTTTAATAATACCGCAGCCCCACCCTCACAGAAAACCGGCGTGAAACAACGACAGCGTTGTGTTTCGCCGTGTGAGTGCGGTTTTTTTGTACGTTATAAGTCGGCAAACGAGCAGACGGATTACATGATGGTAAGCAATCAGTGCCGCCCACGGACACCCGCAACACCAAAGGAGTTACGAGTGCGTTGCCGGCCTTTTGGGGATAGGGGTTGCGGATATAAGGACCGGGAAGGGATAGGGGAAGGGAAGGGATTGGGTATCCGGTAACCTCACTTACACAGCGAAACACAACACTTACAAGAGGCCCAATCCTTCCATTCCCGTGTTACTATTCGGACTACAAGGACTTTTAACAGAAATAAAATGATACTAACGCCATGTTGTTAGACTTCTCCGAGAAGACTCTAAGCAGGAATTCTCCTTCTTCATCAGGATCGAAGGTGGACGGTACTATCACGTAACTGCCTGGGTCCAACTTGAACCTGTAAAATGTATTATGTTTGTAATTTCCATCTGAGTTTACCCCCACCATGATTTGTATTAAGATTAATACCTACACGAATTGAAACTCAGAAACTATATTTATATACAATTATTTATATTAACAATAACAAATACGAAGGTTTATTTTCCAGCTTTTTTATAATAATATAAATATGACATACCTAGCGCTGACTTCACGGAGATTGATGAAGGCCTGACTGCGTCCCACGGAAGCGTTGTACTTAAAGAAGTTGACGTCGAGAGGTTTAGGTACGTGTCCATAGTCGGGGAGACGGTACACGGCGAAGCCTATCGTCAGACACTCCAAGCCTTGGTGGCGCTGGGAACGCCGGTTCTTCTGCATTAGAGCTACGATGATCTGTAAAATTATTATAATAGATAGTTTAAATAAATGCGACTGCACGGTTGCTGTCGCGGGTTCGGTTCCCACACAGAACAACTCTTTGTGTGATCCACAAATTGTTGTTTCGGGTCTGGGTGTGATGTCTGTGTAAAATTGTATGTTTGTAAACGCGCCCACGAGAAAATGCTAGTGTGAGGCAATGTTTAAGAAAAGGTAAAGCGTTTATTTAGCGAAACACAAGACATAATATGGGCAATAAACAGAAACATAATAATAAAGGAGAAAAAAACTATACAAGCCAGAGCTACTATTAAAATTCCACGTGATAACATCTAATGTCAAGTATCTTCAATGTTTATATTGTAGGTACTAGCTCTTGTCCATGACTTCCTGCAGATTTTTAGTATAAAAACTATCCTATGTCCTTTCTCGAGTTCCAAACTATGTCTGTACCAAATTTCACAGAAATCGGTTCAGTAGTTTAGGCGTGAAGAAAAGATCGACAGACAGACAGAGTTCCTTTAGCATTTATAATATTTATTCAGATTTGTTTTAAAGTTTATATTGCAAATTGGACTACCAAGAAACGACTTATACGGATTGTTTAAATTTCCTTACTGTGAATATTCTTACAGATAATTTAGGTCATATTTTTTGTTAAGTCATAGGATGGTAAGCAATCAGCGCTGCCCATGGATACTCGTAGTAACAAAACAGTAACTGCATCCCACCCGAGGTAGGAAAAGGGATTTGATGGTTTCTTCCCCCATCGAAGGCCTAGAAACTAAACTACAACTCACAGTGCACTTGTTCTCGTCATCGCCCTCGTCGACATCTTGCAAGGTGACGGTGTACTGAGGGTTCTTCCAGAACGTCTCCAGGTAGTTCCTGCATCCTCCCGCAGTCACACCTGCGAGACACAGGCAACATGATAAAATAACTACCTAAAAAGGTTTTGATCAAAGAATTAAGAATCACGCCATTTTCTCAACCAACAATGAATAATTTCAATTTAGAAATACAATAAAATATTTTTAAGTTGGTGTATTTAATCCATTAATTTAAATACCTACATTAGTCAATTACTTTTCTAATATTTTTTTAACAAATAATAAATGTATGCTATGTGTATGGTGCAAAAATAAAAGGCCACCCATAAAGAACACACACATGGATTTCACGATTTGAGTCCTTGTCACAGGTGGTCACATTTCAGAGAGTCCCCTAGTGTGACGTCACGTGTTTTGCAATCTCGAATATCGATCGAAACATCATTAAATAGAAACGAAAAAATCACGCGTGGTACGGTGCGTTTGGTGATATTCGTTAAAGGGCTCGTCAGCGATCGGCGCGTATCACTGGAGCGGGTATGAACTCGTCAACAAAACAATTTAAACCGTGTTGTCCTAAAGATAGGGTCAAATTTTTTTTAGTTTGTTTATCACGTCTCATCATCCTAGCCTTCAACAGTTTTTGTGGGCAGTCAAAGGCTTACACCCGGTTTCCGAAAGGCCGATCAATGTTAAAATCAATTTAATCTCTTGTCAAGTCATGTGATGGGTTGACTGAATTATCAACAACCAATCAGATGACTTGACAAGAGATTTAACAGGAGATTAGTTAATTTTAGCGTTGACAAGCCTTTCAGAAACCGGGTGTTAATGTTTCAAATTATGCGATTAGTACGACTAGATATATTACATATTGAAATGTGACGTCACGAAATTTAGGACCCCTCCCACCTCTTGTCACACTTTGTCGTCCCCACCTCCCTTTGCGTGTGACGTACTTTGTGGATGACCCCCCTTTTTTGTGAGGGGAAAATCATCAAATGACTTCTCCCGCCCAGGGTAAGGCGAGAGAGAGAGTCAGACTCTTACTGACTAAAACCCCCCCGTTTCTTCTCCTGGTCTGGGCCGAGGTCGCGGTACCTCATTGCGCTTACCCCGCAACCCCGGATGGATGACCCCTAAGATGACGTCACAAGTCTGTACCTCTTAAAAAATCTTAGAAAAGTATCGTTTTTGTTAATATTACCTCTAACCCACTCTCCCTCGAAGACTGACATCTCCCACTTCTTGGTGCATCCCTCGGGGCACTCCTCCGGGTCCAAGGAGTCAGGGTTCAAGTTGCAAATCTCCACTCTGGAAATATATAACACAAGTTCAATTAATTAGAGCGACTACTTATTCACCATGCGCATAAATTAAGCTCGATTGATAACTAAATACCCGCGCGAAACACGATTGGGTTTTCCCGAAATTCTCACAATCCTATACGGAGATAAGCAGTAGAACCCGCGTCCTTTTAATCGATAGTATTTATTTATTTATTTATTAAGCTTTATGCACACATGTTTTTAAACAGGCAGACTTAATGTATTTGTCATTATCTACCAACTATCTAATAAAAATAATGAAATCAAAAGTTGAGAATTGAGGGATTTGTGGTTTGATTGCCTCGTATGACCTCATTTACACGGCTGTACACAACGCCTTAGAGAAGAGAGTGAGGTAGTCGTATTACTCTGATCGAGCCAACCCGGTAGTGCAAAACATTGTTGTTCCCAAATTTCAAGAAACTAGAAAGTTTTTCTTGTAATTTATAATCTTAATTATAAATTACAAGTGTAGGAGAGCCATGCTTCGGCACGAATGGGTCGGCTCGACCGGAGTGATACCACGGCCTCACAGAAGACCGACGTGAAACAACCACAACGTTGTGTTTCGCCGTGTGAGTGAGGTTACCGGAGGCCCAATCCTTCCCCGCCCCCAATCCCTCCTCAATCCCTAAATCTCCAAATCCCTAATCCCTAAAAGGTCGGCACCGCACTCGTAACTCCTCCGTTGCAATCAGCGCCGCCCATGGACACCCGTCCATGGGCGGCGCTGATTGCTTACCATCAGGTAATCGGTCTGCTCGTTTGCCGACTTATACCATAAAAAAATATAATGATATATAATGATATGAGATAATGATAATTACCTTGAGAAGTGATTAACAAAGTCCTTGAATGACATCCAAAACTCTCCGTCGTCATCGAACGTGAGCCCCATCTCTTCCTTCTCTGATTCGGGGATGAAACGCCATTCCGGTGACCTGTGGAGGGAATCACATTATATTTTTGCATCAACTGGTGATTTTCTTTGGGTGCACTTCCATTATACATACAAGGATAATTGCTACTTGATGTCTCATTCCACTAATATTAAAATTGTTCAACATTCGTTAAAATCATTTTGGTCTCATAAAACATTTTCTTATAGTATAGCCGTCTCTTTCTCTCCTGTAAACTTGTCCCCTTTGATACAGAATTAATAGCAATTTAAACGACAATTTCAAGTATTAAATTCTACTGTGGGCGAGAAGGTATGATAAGCGCTTGCATTTTTGAATTTTTTTAGCTCTTCAAGTACTTTCAAGTTAGTCAAAAACATCATAATAGGAGGTCAAAAATTACAAACTAGGATTTCATAGAGATTGTGTTATGTAAGTAAACCTAGATCTGTTAGAATAACCTGCCTGCACCGGCCTTCCGACCCATTTATGATTTAGGTGTATTCAATGGTGAATAGGCTCTTAATAAACTAGTGCGCCTTATCATCAAGGATTACATCACTGCTTACCATCAGGTGGGATTGCAAGCACTAGTTTATATGATTATTTTAAAACTACGCAACGAATTTTGACGCGGTGTTTTTAATAGATGAAGTGATCAAAGAGGACTTTTTATGTTTATATGTATAACTAGCTACTCTCGCGCGGTTTCACCCGCTGCTCGGCTCTATTTGATCGTAGCGTGATCTTTTATAGCCTATAGCACTCAGGAACATTGTAGCTATCTATCAGTGCAAGAATTTTGGCAATCCGACCAGCGCAGCGGTTCCAAAGCACCACCACATTCAAACTTACAAATATTCTCTTTATAATATAAGTATAGAAAAAAACCTGTGTGTGGACCTTGTTATCCTGTTAATGGAAGCGAAAAAATTAAGAAATAAACATACTTATCACTCCAAGGTCCGTTCCACTCGGCTTCATTGCCCCATGGGTTGCGCAGTCGCAGTAGTGGTATCTTACCGCTGCGGCCCGGGGTCTCGATGTCCACGTACTTCACCTTCGTTATGGAGTATGCGTGACCCCGGATCAGGCCGGCTGGGGTCTCCGCTTCTAAGATGTTGGGGTCCGGCTGTAAAAATTATATTAGGGATTTTGAGTTTGACGTTATTGGAGCGTGGATGTTGTTCGACAAAAATTGCGTGATCTCATAATTGACTGAAATTAATATTCGACATCAATCTAAAATCTAAGGATTGACATTAATTGTGTGAATTATTTTTTTTATTGAGAGTCATCATATCCACGTTTGTATTAAGGCTTATGTATGTATAGTGAAAACTTTATCCAAACTAATATTATAAATGCGAAAGTAAGTGTGTCTGTCTGTCTTTTCTTCACGCCTAAACTACTGAACCCTATTTGTGTGGAATTTGGCACAGACATGGTTTAGAACTCGAGAAAGGACATAGGATAGTTTTTACACCATAGATCTACAGGAAGTCGAGTCGCGGGCATAAGTTTTTTAATAAAGCCTGTGGTCCAGTTCATGCTATGGTCTATAAGTTTACGTGGTTAACTAAATGTAAACCGACAAATTCACTGTATATTTATCTAGTTGAATAACTGTATGCTGAGCACTTAATTTAAAAGAATTTTAAATAACTTTTTTACATATTTTTTTAATAGATATAAATACTAACCTCAATACTGCACCCGCTGAGCGAGTTCCTCTCGTACGCTTTAAGCAGTATAGTGTAAAAGTTGGGAGGTAATTCCGCTATATCGTACATCTCCGTCACTCCTCCGGTGAAGTCCTCCATCGCCTCGCATGTCGAACCGCCCTTCAGAGCTTCGTAGGAACCGTGCAGTCTGAAATTATAAATCATTATCATAATCTAAACTATAATATTATAAATCTGGAGAGTTTGTTTGTTTGAACGCGCTAATCTCCGGAACTACTGGTTCGAATTCAACAATTCTTTTTGTGTTCCTTAGTCCCCTTATTGAGGAAGGTATAACCTTCCTAGGCTGTTCTATAGGCTTTAAAATATCACGCAAAGATCTGTAGCAGCGAGTGAACCCCGCGAGAGTAGCTAGTCTTTTATATGTACTAGAATCATGCTTTTTTGAATGGGCCGGTTCTGCCGGAGTTTTGATAATTAAAGGAATATTTTTGCCCATATCGTGCCAAGTTAGGCGTATAAATGCGGCAGATAACAAAAAACAGGATCAGTGTTGGCTATAGCCGAAAAGAAAACGTAATTTTGCAAGATTTTAACAAAGTACAATTGCACTTCACGTAGTGGAATTTTGCAGCCAAAATTTAAAGCAAGATAATAAATAATATATTTTAAACTTTGTAGGTATACAATTATACATCTTAATTTTCATATCTGTAATAAGCTTGCTAGGCTTACCCTGGCACTTCACCCACCAGATACAACCATTTTAATTTTTTTCTTTTAATTTAAGTAGATTAATTTTTTTAGGTAATATTCTCAATTTACAAAAATATTAAGACGACCGTTCAAAAGGCTAATAAAAAGTACTTACTTAGCATACGCCTTCTCAAGCAGTGCACTCCAGAACTCGTTCTGCTCCGAGGAGTGAAGGAAGACCAGCTTGCCGCGGTACGTCGGCAGTCTGTCGTCGATCACCACGTCCACCCAACGACCGTACTGCCAGAAACTGGGGATTAAAAACAACAATTTCTAATTAAATCAATGGCTATTGTAATCCCTAATAGTTTCCCATTAATATCACTATCACTACATAATACAAAACTAAGTCGCTCTCTGTCCATATATTATGTATGCTTAAATCTTTAAAACTACGCAACGGACTTTGATGCGGCTTTTTAAATAGATAGAGTGATTGAAGAGGAAGGTTTATATGCAAAACAACATCCATTAAATAGAAGCGAAATTTTGTATCAGCATTGTATCCGTATAAAGCCAGGTATATAATAGACATATTATAAATGATATTTACAATAAATCTGTAAATCATAATTTGTTTTTGAATTATATAAGTAATAATATTGCTTGCTTCTTGCACCTACCGTTGATAATGATATTCTCAGTAATAGCATTTACGAGTATATGGCTATAGATTCACCATTGCACGGGTTTTGCATTGAGTACTTACCCCTACTCTTACCCCTTTTTTGTGATAGGACAATCATAGAATGAATTCTCCCGCCCAGGGTCGGAGGAGAGGGAGAGTCAGACTTTTATTGATTAAGAACCCCCCGTTCCTTCTCCTATTCTGGGCCGGGGCAGCGGTGCCTCATTGCGCTTACACCGCAACCCCGGCTGAACATCAGCCCTATAGGGCACCGTCTGTAGTAGTCTATTGGCTCTTTGAGCGGAGGCCCTTACCTCTTACCCCCTTTGGGGATTAAAAGGTATGTTACTATACTGTGGTTTGTCTTACCGGAAATGGAAGACACCAGCATACTCCTCATCGAAGCTCTGGTCATCTGGCACCACTTGGAAGAACAATCTGAAACAGTAATAAGGACATTTTATAACAAACAGGCTTTTTTGTAGGGCTGCAAAAGGGCAGTCGGATGACCTGATGGTAAGCAATCTTGTGGATGTTCATGAACGGCGCCATGGACATCCACAACACCAGGGGAGTTACAGGTGTGTTGCAGATCCTTGGTGACACGGGTTTGGGGATTGGGCATTGGGAACGGGGTAGAGATTTGAAGATTGCCTTGGTGAAGGAAGGAGGATGAAATTTTGGCACAGGCATAGGATACACTCCCGAATAGGACATAGGCCACTTTTTATCAACATACCACGCGATTGAAGCCTCGGGCGGCAGCTAGTTTCTTAAGAATAAGAAAGCAAGGGATGTTTTATGTTCTATTCATTTAAATATGCTTTTACTGTGTTTTTCTGGTTGTAAATGCAAATAAAACAAAGCTAAGAGCTTACTTTCTGTGTAGGGTGAGGTTGGCAACGGCGGCCAGTAGCCAGCAGTCACCGAGCTCTCCCTGCTGAACATCGAAACGACTGTACCCCTCCACGAACAGTTGAGGATCATCGCATATCTCCTGCAAAATGAAAAACCAAGATATTATTAATATGTCATATTCACTATATTGATTGACATGTTATATACATAAAAGTATAGTTTTTGACGTTTGGATAAAAGTATTGAATTTGACTAGTTGGAAACTACCGTATTATGAGTTTGAAATCGCCAATCCACGTTCAGCGAGAAGAGGCATATAGTCAGGAGTAGGCACTTATAGGCTGATGATGATATCTCTTTATCATCAAAAATAGGTTCTTGATCTGACTATCACTGTACTGATTGCCTTGCAGCATTTAGCCCCTACTATAGATTACCTAGAGAGTTTTCTTTACGTTGGCACAATGAAAACTTCACCGTATTAAACCATTTGATTGGTTCCTTAAATTGGAGCCGGCCAATCACGGCACAGAACGTCACAAGCGTGTCGATCGCTTTAAAGTAAAGCTTATTTGAAGTCACCATTTCGCCTTGAGCAAGCGTGGTGGTTAATTCTCAAACTTTACAGGCTGATGATAAACTATTTTGGTTATAAAGAGTGGGGTCTCCTAGTGCAGGTATTACATATACTTTAAAGGAAGCCATTGCATAAGATTCATTGTGAAAGTTTTAATGAGAAAATGAAATAAGTTTTTTTTTGTGTGCAGGACGGATATGGATGAAAATTCCGGAATAGGACATAGGCTACTTTTTATCAACATACCACGCGGGCGAAGCCGGGCTAGTAATACGCGGGCGAAAATGGAGGCAGAAGTAGTACTATCCTCACATAAGTACGTGTTTGTAAGACTTATAATTGAAATGATCCAGACATACATACTACATATAGATATATTTATGTATCTATTTCTTTAAACGATCGCTAGTCAGACTTAGTTTAGTAATACTCGTCAAATTTTTTTTTTTTTTTTTTAACTCTTTATTTATTATTAGGGACTTTTACACGGACGTGTATGCCAGTCCCATCATACCTTATTCTAATACAATCTAACTAAAACGTAATCTAGCGAACATAAATACTTTGGCGGCAGCCTCCGAATTAGGTGTAGATAAAAGATTGTGATATACACCTACATTATACATATTTAAGTTTAAGTCCTTAAATAATTTTACTCGGTCAGACTGAAATCTGGCACATTCCAACAATAAGTGTATTACATCTTCCGGTGTTCCACATACATCACAATTTGGTGAGTCAGATTTTTTCATTAAAAATCCAAACTTATTGAGGGGCAAGTGTCCAGATCGCAGTCTGTGCGCGATCACAACCAGCCGCCTGCATAACTTAGTATTGTAAAACCATGGTATGTGAGGAGGCTCCGATACCATTGATTTATACCATATGCCTTTATCCTTGGACCTTTCATTAAAATATTCTTTCCAAAGCTCATGACCCTTGTTTTTGTATTTTGTTAATAGTTCCACGTAATTTGTTCCAATATTTACCTCCTTTCCTTCATCAATTGCCAATTTTGCCAACCGGTCAGCCTCCTCATTACCATGTAAGCCTATATGCGATGGAACCCATTGCAATCTCAGATCAAACCCATTGCTGGTTAAATTGTGTATCTTAGAAAGGATACCATAAGCTAAAAGGATACCATACTCGTCAAATTGCTTCAATTAAATTAACTACACGCTATTAACTTTGGAAATGACATTTTCTATAATTGTTTTGTTCTTTTGTTTTTTTTTTATCAGAAAAAGGAAATTCAAAATTTTGTATGTCTATTGCATTAATTAATCGAGACACAACAGAAGGACGATACGTGTGCGAAAGCCAGCATTCGAGTGACGAACGAGTTCAACGCGAGCAAAGCCACTGGCAAAAGTTAGTTGGTACTAAAATACTACTAAATAGCGTAATTATGTCAATGACATGAACATTACATTACCTAATCAGCACTTAGTAGAAAAGTTATTAGTCAAACTTAACAATTGTCTGCCGGTGTTTAAAACACGTCTGGCATAGAACTCGGAAAAAGTCTCATTGGTCCTCATGTTCCTCACCAAGAAGAATATTAAAAACGTCCAGTATTAAAGACGTTTCTTAATTATCGATATTATTGGCACTTTTTGTAATAATATAGTATATGACTTAGCAGGTGGTCAATGAGGTATATTAGCTAAGGCTTTTTTTTTTGTGAGGGGAAAATCATCAAATGACTTCTCCAATGCGGGAGTGTCAGACTCTTACTGACTAAAAACCCCCTGTTCCTTCTCCTGCTCTGGACCGAGGTCGCGGTGCCTCATTGCGCTAACCCCGCAACCCCCCTCAGAAGCTCTATAGGGCCGCCTCCCTCTATTATATATTAAATAAGGCTTAGGTTTTCTAATACAATATGTAGGTATATTTGTTCTCTCTAGCGGCAGAAGGCTAATCCGCTTAATGCTTAAAGCTTTCTACGAATCGCCTTATCTGCATTGAGTGCATCACTAAGCTGTTTGGTAAATATGTACCATTTCTTCTTTGTAACGATTAATGGCAACTATGTATTTGTTTGATTATGTATTGAGACGCTTTTTGCATCTAATTGATTTTTATTCCTTTAAAGTTATCTCGTTCGAAAAAATACAATAAATAAGTACTTTTATCTTATAATCATCGATTATTATAAATTTGTAAGTATGAATGGATGTTGTCACTTCTTCACGAAAAAAACGATATACTATAGAAACTTTAATACTTGATTGAATTGAAAATTTTTAACTGTTTACTTTTACTTACTGACTAATTAGAATAGTACTATACCTTTGGTCGCAGCCAAGTGATTGGTCTATCAAGTCTCTCCTTGTAGTAAAGACTGCGGTCATTGGCTGGGAACTCCGGGTCCTCAAAGAGCCTTCCTTCAGAGTAGCAACGAGACCTGATCTCCTTGAAGTCTTGGTACGTAGCCGGGCCAAAGTTTGATGGACGGGCCTCGCCTAGCTGGAAGGAAAATTCGAGAGAATTAATATAAAAATATTCGTTTCAAATTGTCCAATTTGACGAATTTATTTGGTAGTTATACATATGTAGATAGTTAGCAAAATGACAGAACTTCATAAAAATTATGTACGGGAAATTATGCCAAATATATGTATACACCACTGATGAAAGTCACGGGTAAAACATACTTAAGTAAATAAAGGCAAGGTTCAATTTTAGTTAACACCTACGTAAACCACAAAGCCAAATTTTGGCAAGCACTGTTATGGTGATGGTACTATCCAGGTCATTATCGCATGATAAGAACTGTAAATACCAACTTGAATTTGATTACAATATTATTATATTTATTTTCAAAAATAGCATTCTAAAGAAAATCTTCGAGATTCGATTAGTCATATTACATCTATTCTGCAAAATAGTGTCTAATATAAATATTAGACTAAATTGAAGTCTAAATAAGCTCACCCAAGAAATACATCTAACTCCTCTGTAACGGCTTTACTAATTTTTACCTAATTTTATATGCAAGTTCAGTAGATCAGAGAATCGGCTATTGGTTATTTTTCATACCTCTAAGTGACAAATCTATACTAATATTATAAAGAATTAAAATTTGTAAGTTTCTATGTAGGGGATAATCTTTGGAACCGCTGGTCGGATTGCAAAAATTCTTTCACTGATATAGCTACAATGTTCCTGAGTGCTATAGTCTATCAAACATCACGCTACGATTAAATAGAGTTGAGCAGCGGGTGAAACCGTGAGAAAGTAGCTAGTAATTTATATGGCAAAACAACGTTTGTCGTGTCAGCTAGTTATTTTATAAAATCCTAAATGTCTGTCAAACCCAAATACTGGACTTCTTACGTCTTAAAAGTAGTTTTATATCTCATTTGTATTCACATTTTATTGTTCCGTTTCTTCAATAACATTGTGTATTGTGACGTTTTTTGCGTCTAATTGATTTTTATTCCTTTAAAATTACAATAAATAAGTACTTATATATCTTATAATCACCGATTATTATAAACTAGTAAGTATGGATGGATGTTTGTTAATCTTTCACAAAAAAACGATATACTTACTATAAAAACTGAAAACCGATGAATGACTGTGTATTTTACTATTATTTTTAGATCACAAATGAATGTACCCATTTATTTACACAAACTGTTTCTATGTTTGTATATCACTTTTGCCAAGCCTGCCCATTTGTACCGAAATATGGCTCTCCCATACTTAAAATATCTACTTCTATATCCGAATATTATGTAAACAGTCTACAATAAATAACCGAAACGGAAATATAGATAAAGCTGAAGTAGTGGCGACGTCAAGTCTAAACCTAAAGTCAAGTTATTTGGCGAGATTCCTATTTTCTGAAGGCTTTTACCGTGGATGGGGAAAACAGAATTATTTTCAAACCATCTCTTTAAAAATAACACAATAACCGCTACCGAAATTATTAAAATAAGTAGTCGTAAGTAAATCACGAACCCAAAACAGTTGTTCACCAGTGGGCATGAACATTTTGCTGCCATTATAGCCGGCCGGCATCTTCAACCTGTGCACCATATGATGGTCTACATTCGAGAGCCTCTTTTCCGGCGTACTATGCTTGGTACGTACATTCGTCAATGTAACTTTAGGAGACCCAACCACTTCTTTAGAAAAAATCATACTTTTGTTAACCAGCGCATTACTGCGTTCCACAGCTTTAACATTTCTAGTTGTGATTTCTGGTTCATCTATGGCTTTTGTTTTCGGTTCCTCAACTTTAGTCGCCCAAAAAGGTTTATAAGAACTATTTCGTCGCACATTCGATTGTTGGTAGGTATAATCAGACACTTTGGCTTTTCTAAAGTCTTCAAACATTCTCGTGAAGAATCCAGAAGATTCCTTCCCATTCTGTTCTGTTTTAAGTGCTTTCTTTTCTCCATCTTTTTTCTGTCTTAATATTCTTCCAGATTTCGGAGATACTATTGAGACTGATTTCTTTTTCCACGTTTCCGCAGCGTTAGAAACTGTGGCGGTGGAATAAAAAGTCTTAAGATAACCGACCTCCTCTTTGCTTAGTTTCACAAATGTATCCTCTGCTACCTCGCTGGCCATATCCGTGGTTTTGTGTTCGTATGTCGAGTTTTCGGAAGTAACTGATAAAGCGGTAGTGATTTACTTAAATAAATGTTCGTTAACCGGGTTTCCAATGTTCTAGTACAAGGTTACTTGAATTAGGTACGTAATGCTTTGTTATTGTTAACTATTTACTAGTAGGGCCAATTTTCCTTCAGTCTATTGCTATATTTAAACTAATAGTTGTTAGTAGGAAAACGAGGATATATCTATTTTAATCCTTATCCCCACCAATTAAAATAAAAGGCAACTTAAACACTTAAAATGGTAATCAAGTCGAGTTAGAAAGCTGAAGAAAGTAATAAATCAGTGATTAGATGTCGCGCGTCCTTGATGAGAATAACTATCGATTTCAGTGAACACTTTAAGCTATTCATAAGTAGCATTTATGGGGTATTATAAAATTTACATTTGGCCCAAATTGTTAGGTATCAAAGCTAACAAATAACAAGGCATTATTGTTGACATACTACCGAATAACTTGCACACACTTTAGTGTCACTACAATAACTTGTTTCTTAGTACACGCACTTGAAAAAACTTAAGAACGTTAAACAAAAATTTCAAAAATGGAACTGCACTCAGAAACTCATCATGAAAAATAAAAACGATTTCAATTACTACGCGGTGTCCATTCTGCTACAGTAATAACTGAACATATTGACTGCCGGCGTCCGACTGATAACACTGTTAAATGCGATGTTATAAGGACAAACTTGTATGTGTGAGTGGCGGAAACCTATAGAGAATTAAACAGTACTATAGTAAAACTTTAAGGGATGTCAAGTACTGAAAGCGAAACTATGAGGCTAGAGCTTTATATTTTAAAACTCAAACAGAATTTGACATCATATGAGTAGATATGAGTAGGTTTACTTTATAGAATTAAATGTTTTTAATTTTAGTAGTCCGTTGATTTGTTTAAACTACACAATTGAGATACAGGCTAGGAAACGTATTTGTGTGCACCGCTTTGTGTTCTCCATAAATTGATGCTCCGGGTCTAGCTCCTATATCTATGCAAAAAAGGACAACCAATTTGAGAGTGGCCGCCTTTAAAATATGTTAATGCCAGAATAAAGCAATAAGTTATTATTTGCAATTATTTCAATAGGTTTCACTTTGCAAAAATAAACTGCAGGGATATCTAACTGGATACGATTAACAGTAATTAAGATGTTGTACACAAAATGCTAGCGTCAATGCTAAACACAGCTTCAATAATTAGAAATAAAGGCCCTAACACAGGACCCTGAGGGACACTACGTCATAGTTTAGGTGTGGTGTATGACCGACCTGCTTTTATCAACTCATCGAATCTATGGTGACATAAAAAGATAATTACTATTCTGTGTGTAGTATGTACAAAAGCCTTTTAACTTAATAAGTTTTAACAAGTTATGGTTAACAGTATCGAAGGCTTAACTAAATAAGCAGAACTAGTTTTGTGATGCGACTATAGCATATTGCTACAAGTAGGACGTGTTAACAGTGTAAATATAGTTCAAAATAACTAAAAAATAACCTTAAGGTAAGCCCAATTTAAATTTTATCTTAATATTGATAAGAGCCTAGGTAAGTGCAGTGCGTTATGTTGATTTTGTGATAAAATATCGATATTTTATTGATAAAGTACATATTCGCATATTCAAGGTCAGTTCACCTTAAATGTACAATGTCAAAAGCACAAGTGAAAATATAAAACCCATTATTTGCTAGTACAGTACATTTTTGAAGAACAATCGATTTTGTTTTAATTTGAAATAATGCCTAGTTTGCTGTTTAGCATATACCATAAGCTTTATTAAAATTCAAGCGTTACATTCTGTCAGTGATTATAAATACATAACAATAACAAATAATGATTACAATACCTATTAATTATTGTCAATCCCATTTATTTATATGGATAAACACAATGATGTCACCTCAGCTATTAAACTTTACTTTTATAAAGTTAATAGATAACTTTTACCGTTTTGTGGTTTTCCCAACGAATGAATGTATGTATGTATTATCAAAGAAATGATATTATTTATCCTCGTATAGCATACCTATTTACATATTTATCAAATTCAAATAACCTAGCTATGGTATCACTAAATTTTGCCGGTAGAAGCCACAAGATCGAATGGCCAGTTGCAGCTTGCAGTTGAATGGGAGACGTGGCCTCGCTGCGACTCCCTTTTTGACTTGTAGAGCACTTCTCAAATATTTTACGTGAGTAAGCCGTTTTTTTATTTAATTTACTCTGACGTCAATTTTAATTACTAAAGTTAACACTTAAGTGTGGGAGAGCCATGTTAAGTGTGGAAGAACCATGCTTCGGCACGAATGGGTCGGCCGTAAAACAACCACAGCGTTGTGTTTCGCCGTGTGGTTACCGGAGTTCCAATCCTTCCCTACCCCCAATCCCTAATCTCCAAAAGGTCAGCAACGCACTCTTAACTCCTTTGTTGTTGCGGGTGTCCATGGGCGGCGCCGATTGCTTACCGTCAGGTAATCCTGCTCCTGCTCTTTTGCCGACCTATTACATAAAAAAACTAAAGAATACTGAATTTGTTTTTGTCCTAAAATCGCCAAAAGTTATAGTTCCGTATGACATGTTATCTTCGGTTAACATTGACCATTGTCAATACTAAGATACTAAAATATAATATTAACACATTTTGTATAAGTCTTATGAATTTGTGATATAATTCTTTTCTACCATGAAAATCTTTTGACAACGGATAGTCTCACACCAATCTTATTTAATAAGCTTAGTGCGGACTGTCCGCTCAACAAAATAATGTATAAAAACTGAGTGACTGAAATTGGGTATGAAAGAATGTTACCTATGCTAGGCAGGCCGGGTAGGATCGACAGACCGATTTCAATAAAACTTAATTAAAGACACGTACGAAAATGGCGTGTTTTATGGGACCCTTACACATTAAACATTTGGTAATTAAATGTTCCCTTGGCAACACTCAATTTGATGTTATCTTTTGTTAATAGGTAGATTCATTTCTTTTTTGAAACTAGCGTTTGAAAAAAAGAAAGGGTCTCTCTTTCCCTATTTTCTTCTCCATTTTCCTGAGATTTTCTTTTAAAAAAACTTCACCTAAGGTAAGAAACACAACAAAGCAAATGAATTGGTCCAGACGTTGTTGAATTATACGGCATCGTAAATTCGTAACTATATCGATAAATTTGAGTATTTTAAACTCGTTGCAATAAATTTATTTATAAATTAGTAGCAGAAAACTGGATTTATGAACTACATGAGATTTTGGTTAGATTACAGGAAGTTAAATTAGCTTTCATTATTAAACAAATATTTCAAAACGTTTCCCTACATTAGGATTCTCCCCTGTGCCGTGGGTGCGTTTGTAAACATACAATTTCACATACGCATCACACCCTGACCCGGAACAACAATTTGTGGATCACACAAAGTATTGTTCCGTGCGGGAATCGAACCAAGCTAAGCCACCGCGACCACCGTGCAGTCAAAATTATAATTTGCTTTCATTATTGATCCTGGTTGGTTACAAAGCTTCGATGACGGACAGACTGACAGACTACTATTCCATTTTGGCGTTTCAAAAGTACTAACTTATTGTGTAGTTGGAATAAATAATTTTGACATTGACAAATAGTGAAATTCTACTTTCCCGAATTGTATTATTATTTGATGCGTAACTATCTACTTCAAACTCGATGACATCATCGCCATTCAAAACATTAAACAATATTTGGATCAATACGGGGGCGGAGAGGTCGCATGTCTAGACTAGGGTTCTTCCCTATGTCTGGAGACTGTCTGGGATCACCACTTTAGATTTTGGATGCTTACAGCTCATTACTCATCTACACTGCCGTACGATCTGTTAACAATATTATAATAGTAGTAGTACAGAATTCGAGGAAAATCAAGTCGTCTTTTGGCGCTATTTAATTTGATACCTAGAGTGTCGAAACATTTTGTACTTTCTTTCTTGAAGTTGCAAAAATATAGTTAACTAATCATTTATTCATTTGAACTCGTCATTTTAAGTGTTCCAGAAATAATGAACTAATTAGGTTTTCTATCAGAAGCGTATTAATTCATCAAACCCTAAGCGAACACCGGCGTCGCACCTATTGTCTTACTATTGTGTCTCGAATAACCACAATTAATAGTTAAACAAAATACTTAATATCTTTTAACTCAATAAAGATCTCAATGAGAGAGAGAGAACTCAATGAATCAATAAAGATCTAAATCGATCAACATATGTACATATAGTACTTCATACATTTGCTTTGACATGGAAGTACTATAGCAGAAATTATAAGATTTACTCTAGGATATCTAAGATAGTAAAAGCCATTCAATGTTTAACAACTAGACCTACACGCGTTTTCAATTAATCCTCCGTTCAGCTTCATTTGAAGAACTAGCGATACGCAATTTCAAGTCAATAATGACGTGATTAAGTGCGTCAATATAGCGTCCACGAGCGATGATAGATAGATAGCCAATAGCGATTGAGTAAAGAAAGGACAGTGACATAGTCGTATATAAACTCATTACACAATAACAGTTAGCGTAAAGTCATCTCATCGTCAGACCCACCGAGAACAGGAGAAGTTAATAGATGATTTTCCCTCAAAAGTGCTGTCTAATAAATTTAGCCAAAAAAAATTAATATCAGTGCCATCTGGTGAGAAAAACCACGAAATAAACGATACTTCTGTTTGAAGAAAAGAGATTTTTTTACAAATATATTGATGAAGCTTTTTAAATCATTCTGTTCGAAATTTAAAATTTTAAAATCTACAAGCAACAGCTATTTCGGTATCACTATCTCCTGTATCCAACGCAAATTGTCTTTTTCTTCTAAAATTTTCTTGTAATTTTCATACTTCAACGCTTAACATACCTGGTGGAGTTAATAAAAAAAAACATATTTCTTTCTTCATTATAAAATTGAAAATAGAAGGTATCCCTT